CAGCAGAGGCACATGGCGAGAGCAGGTTTAAATTGAACTGACACGATCACATGAGAGAATTGCAGGTGGCTGATATAAAATGAGAAGAAGAAAGTTGTGAATAATTATGTCAGCATTTTTAACTCAAGGTAAATAAATTTAATGACAGGAAAATATTTTCTGTGCATCTACTTGAAATCCTGAACATCTTGGGAACAGAAATGGTGCGCCATTTCATTGTTGATACATTTAGACCCCGTTTGGTAGCACAAAAATTGGCTGTTTTGGCTGATTCTGATGAAATGTATGAAGTTCTGGCTGAAGTGACTGCATTGGCTGATTCTGCTGATTTAATAAAAAAAAATTTTAAAAATATATTTTATTAATAACATAAAGAAAAAATTATATGTAAAAATAGCTAAAATAGTCATCTACAGTAACTTCAGCCAATACAGCCAGAAAATTAACTTCAACTTTACTTTTTCTGCTTATTACACAATTCAGCGCGCGAAAGCAAAAATTGCGTGTTTGGTGAAAAAGTTGGCTGATAAACCTATAAGTCAAAAAACTGGGTTACTTAGTTACTGCATTTTTACCATTAGAAGCTCAATATTGTCATTTATATGTACACAAATGCAAACACCGATCGTATATACAACACATATCATGTTTTATGTGTAGGGTTGCACCTAAAACAAGATTGGGAGATGCCTTTGAATAAGAGTAAAAAATACCACTTCTCCTCAATAGTACTCCGTGCTATAAAACAACTAGAACTTTAAAACCTTCTATTATCAAAATTCCCTTATTATAATATGGAGCATCTATATTATTATATTTATATATAAAAACGGAATAGTGGGAGAGGGGAATGGGCGGGAATCTGAAAACAAAATTTGCTTGATTTGCTGGAATAAAATCGTATTTTTTTTTTTGAATTGAAAGAACTGGCAGCAAAAAAATACACAAGCATTTGTGAAGCGTGATGAATAAATGCATAACCGTCATTATATTTTTCTAAGGCACTTACATTTAAAGGTACTTATACACTGACTTTTCGAGTATATACATTTGTTAAATACACTGACATTATTTAACCCTGTTTGTTAGCATATGAAATTTCAAAAAGCCACATAAGAGTATATATGTCTGTAGAAATTCTATCCAAGTCACATTGTCGATACAAATTGGTTTGTAATCCTGTGAAGATAATATTTCTTCAGACAATCACTTATTCGAGGATGAAAAGGTATCATACGGGGATTGATCTCTCATTCTCTCATATGAGTAAACTCTTTTTTTTAAGAAATATATATATAATCTACTATGTACTCAACTTTTCTATCTTCTGGTACGGTTTACAAAAAATACTTTCTAGAACATTATTACGAGAGCATGCATACAAATATTTCGAAATGCAAAAAAACAAGTAATTGTAGAGTCGAATAGTAGTCCAATGTCCATTATTGGTGTTTGACATTAGCCTGGACGACGAGGATGATCACCATATACTAACCTGACAGCCACAAAAATTAGAAGATACTTCAATTCGTACAGTCCATGTAGGTGTATAAATGTTTACGAATTTTTGGAAAATGTATTAACGCAAAGAAATAGAAATGAAAAGTAAACCAAAACTTACTCTTCTTGAATAGACAGATCTGAGCAATGTGCATTTTTTTAGTCTCCCATTTGATTTTTGATCTTCATCCGAGTTTCCATCATTTGCAATGGAGCCAAAGATTTATTATTTTTTGACTTGAAAATAAGATGAAATAAAGCAAAATGGGTCACTAAACTGTCTGCGCTTCTTTGTTATGAAGCAGCAGTCAGTCCATGCATTTTTTGACGCGATTTTCACTATGGGTCATCCGGAAACAGTCTCTCTGTGCTTTAGTACAGGGGTAAGACTGCGTACATCCGACCCCCCCTTACCCCACCATAGGTGGGAGCCTTTGCGACACTAGGGTAAATGAAAAAAAATCCGACATTCTAATATTTTTGATATCATGTTGGACGTCTATACTTGGCTTTTAGATTTTCTAAATTAGAGAATAACTTTTGGGATTGGAAAGGCAGAGATTTACGAGGATTTCAGGTATTTTGCTGAAGTAGCTAGCTGAGATGGAGAAATTGCCAGATTGTGTTGGATGTGAGGTTAATTAAGATTTCAGAACATAGTTTTGTTATTAAATACTCCTTACTATCGTACTTTTTTTTATTAATTGATAATCACTATGCCCTCAAGTGCTGTTACGATTTTTGTAATTATAAGAGATACGTAGTACTACGTATTATAGTAGTTACTTCAACGTGTCATTTACAAAGGTAAAATGTGTTTTTCATTCTAAAAAGTAAAGACCAGTAGAACGATTAAATAATAAAATGGAAGATTTAAATGATATATAGAGATTTTTTCAAATACTATTGAAATAAAGTTTATATATATAATAACATGGTTAAAGGTACTATGGGTATAATGGTACGTTCACTTACGTGTAATCAAAATGAGACAAATTAATTATTATGACTAACATTCATTTTTTTCTGGAGAATTCAATTATTTATCACTTTATCTATGCTAACACACCATGTAATGATAATATAATTCGATAATAAGATATTTAGTAATATTGATCCCACTTTTGATCAGATAACTAATTATTCGATAATATTCACAAGTGCAAATTTCACTTTTAAATGAATACCGGATATCAATGTATGTACAATGGAACTAAATAGGGCCGCGGATTAAAATAACATGTTTTGGAAGCGATAAGTCTAGCAAGGATAAATGGAGATGAAAAGGATTTAATATAGAAAATGCTTAATTTTTTTAGTGAGTAACGTAAGACCATTTCTCATAGAAACAATTGTTGCAAAAACCTACTGAGTATGTTTATTCATGTCCATTATTTGTTTCTCTTACACGTTTTACTAATTGCGATGTTTATGAATTCAACATGTGAAAAGAATGATGAATATAATGATTAAAAACAAATATGTGTCTCATGAAGTCTTCAGTTAATTTTAAGTATAAACTTTGCTTATAATAGATATATTAAAATTATATCCCGTGCATTGCACGGTATAATACTACGTACTAGTTTTTATAAAGCAAGGATCTGACGGCGTGCACGTTGAAGAATAAACGACAACATAAAGAAATCTTTCTTTGGAATTGCTTTAGTATCATTTTGTTACCAATTCGTTTTCAACTTACCGGTTAACTATCACAAATTCATAATAGGAGTCCTCGACCAATTTCATTTTTATATTATTTGAGAGGTTATTACGTACTAGCTTTGTCCTCGCTTAAATTTCCTTAAACTACACCTTTACAGACATGGGTTTGGACTTTTGAAAGCGGACGGGTAGGCAGTCTTGCCTAGGGTAAAAGGCGCGGCATTTCGTCCGTATAGTTTTGGGGCATCGCTAACTTTTCTTCGAACAAAGCAGAAACTTTGCAAGGATTCGGGCGGAAGCTTCTTCAGTCGCCAACAACAGCAGGGGATCGAAGGTTCCATGTGACAAGGGCTAGAGGACAAACCGGGTTCGAAGGTCTCAGCGCACTGCTTGGGTTCCAACAGGGGTGTGATGGTTTTGTTCAAGGTTTTCGGCTTGCGGCGGGTTACGTTTGAGATTTCAGTTGGCGAAAACAGAATCAAGGAGGGCGGTGATGAAGGATAAGCGCATACCCCAGCGGCAGGAAGAGATCGAAGTTTATGAAAGGATGAAGATGGAGGAAGAAGAGCAAGTCAGGGACAACCAGTGGATCTATGATCGGTTGGACTTGAATGAAGAGGGAGGAGCGTTATTGATTTGTCCCCTCCTGAACCGTCGCCAGAGAAGAAACGAGCGATTGGGGTTTGGATGTTTCACTTAGTTATTTTTGCTTGTTTCAGTCATATTTTTTTTGTTCAGCACTTTCAGTTTATTTATGCTTTGTGGTTTTAGTTTTTACTTTAGGAGAAAGTGATCAGGCTATTTCAGCCGATAATAGCTTTGAATCTCTCGCATGTTCTACAATTATTCTTGCTCATTATTGGACAGTGTATTGCTCATTATTTGAATCTCTCGCATGTATTCTATGTCTGATTAGAGAGTGAGAGTACCTATTGGTTATAAGGAGTCTAGCGGGAAGAGTTGGGCGCTTGGAAGGGTGAATGTTTGGATGCTTGTTTCAAAGAGTTTAATATAAGCAGTTTGTGTTTCCTACTAAAAAAATTGCAGATAAACTATTTTTGTACAAAACATAAATCACAAAACATTAATTTGAGATGTAGTGATGTATGTTTACATTTACTAAATTTGAGATTTAATTTTAGATATACAAAACTTATATCACCAAACATAAATCAACACAATAGAATGATGTATGAATCAAACCATACTTCAGACTGATTTGATCTGGTACCGGTTTTCATTTTATGAGAACCGCTCATGACATGGCTTGGGACCAGTATGATCCGATTCGGGACAAAAATTGAGATCTGTTTCAAACCCCGTTTTTCAGTTCGATACCATATTGGTCCGATTCGATACCATGCCGGTTTGATATTTTTGTCCACCCCTGCATAAGATGTTATCCATTTTGATTTTGAAGCCATGCCCCCATGGTAACTTGTTTCTTCGATCAATTTTTATATCAAACAAGTAACTTTTTATTTTATGCGCTTAAAAGCTACTCGACAATGATGGCTATTTTATTATTATATACTACCTCCGTCCCATATTTATCTTCATAGTTCGGTTTACGATGCTTGACTGACGATAAAGCAACTCGATCCCTGTTCACACTCGAATTATTTTTAGTAAATAAAATTTACATATTCAGAAACTACATTAAAACCGCTACAAAGCCTGATCAAGAAAATTTAAGTTTGATAAAAATTTGATATATAAAGTAAAAGATTAAGAGTAATTTGAGTTGACCATGTGAATAGTAACTATGAAGATAATTTTGGGACGGAGGGAGTACCTAATATAGCTTTCTTGATTTTAATAATAAAATACTCTGTATTTTTCCAAAACATACTCTCTCTTTTTTTTCTAAATTTAATTGATGCAATCGATTCATTCGTCCAAAATCAATATTGCTACAATTTGAATAGAAAAAAAGATGAATTGATGGCTCCAATTGATGCATCTAATCAACACAAATTATAAATAAAAAAAGACATTTCAAAACCAATGAATGAATCAATCCTCATATAATTTGGTGGAAAATAAGGTCCCGAGATTAGAACGTCTCCCTTCACCGGAGACTCCACTGCCACTAGCAGGGGAGTCTGAAGCCTTCATGGTCAACACTCTGGCTTTATTATACCAGTCGCCACCGCATCCATCTCCGGCGGCGGGCGAGACTTTCCCCCACCCCTTACAACCGGCACCCGATTTGGTCCTACAGTCTGTGCTCCGGCGGGGCGGCCACGCCAGGTTACTCCGCGCCTTCCTTGGGACCGGCGATTTTTTCAAGTGGAAGTCGGTGGGAGAGCACGGCGCGCTACTCACTTTTGGGGAAGCCGTCCCGGGCGCAGGAGCGCAGCCGCCATTGCCGGCGGAATTACTTCTTCTGAAAGGCCAAATGTTGATGTTGAGCACCCGTTCCGATGCATGGGCTCCAAAGAACCCACCTTTCTTGTCCGTCGTATTTTCTCCCCCATTCCCCACCCTCTTGAAAATGTTCCTCCACCTCTTGGAAGCAGTGGAGGAGGAGCCAACGACCGCAGCCGATTCGAATTCCAATCCCGGCTGCTGCTTTGCGGCGGATGAAACTGAGTGATCGGGTCCCAACGCCGGCTGCTCTGCCCCGGAAAGATGCGGATGATCGGGTTCGGATACCGACTGCTGCTGCTCTGCTCCGAGCGCAATGAGGTCCGGTGAAGCAGGGCAGTAGAGGGGGAGCAGGACGCCGTCGGAGAAGAGCTCATCTGCTGACAAAAGATTGGCTTTCCGGAGCACGCAAAATTCGAAAGAGTTAGAACCGCTGCTGCTGCTTCTTCTTCTTGTTGTTGATTTCCCATCTGGAAATGTTAAGGAATTTGCCGGGGACTGAAGTTGTGCTTCCCCCATTGCCGTTGGAAGAAAGAAATGAAGAAGAAACAGGACGGGTTACTATATTATGTAGAGAAAAGTGTTAGGTAGGTTAGTCCCCGGCATGTAATAGAAGACAAGAATTCTTCACAGACAATAAAGAAATTAAATGACAGAGTTGGCGCAATGACCGTTTTCTACTTTTCTTTATTCAATCTTCTTCTTTTACACTTTTCCTTTTTCAGTCTTTTCAAAATAGACTGAACTACTCGGACCCTCCAAAACTTACCTAGAGAAACGAAAATGTTTTCATGCTAGAGTGTTACACTCAAATTTGTCTCAACTCACTATCTAAATAATACTCCGGTAGATGTAATGTACTCGGTATTATTTTTTTATTTTTGATGATTCGGGGCTTGCGCTCCCCTAATTCTGGAGTCTATTCACTATCCACCAAAGTCCCTAAACAGTTAAATCTGAATCCGATCACAATCAGCCTTGTCAGTACTGATACTCAGGACGAATCTAGCAGGACTTCCTATCAACTAAATCCAAAAGGGTCCTCAACCGTCAACTGCACAAGGGTCCCCTCCCACCACGCGAACTCGAGCCTGAATTTTCATCATCTCCCTTCTTAGCTGTTGAGCAACTCCATGAAGGTAGAAAGAAGGTTAATTATCAAAGTTGGACTAAAAGTCACTCACTTTGCACAAATAGGATAAAAAAATAAACTATGTTTTCATAGGACTAATTATGTGTCTTTGACAAATATACCCTTATAGCTGTTGGAATGTTTCAATTCATAATAAAATAATAAAAAATAAAAAAAATCATAAAAAATACCAAAAAAATAATATAAATATTTTAAATAAAACTAAATTTTAAAAAAAATTAAAAGAAAATAAAAAACGCAAAAAAAAAAAAATTAACACCGCCGCCTCTGCTGCCCCAGCACCACCACCTCCAGTCACCAGGGGAAAATGCCAAAATCATTACAGATACCATATTTATGACAGAAAATATGAAAATGTTGGCATTCTCAAACAGAAATATGCCATTTTTTCATTTTAGAAAAAATGACAATTTTTAGTAAAAGTGGCATTTTTTTCACCGGTCGGAGGTGGTGATGCAAGGAGGCAGTACCACGATCTCCGGTCACCAGAGGGGGGAAAATGCCAAATTCATCACGAATGCCATATTTATGGCAGAAATAATGAAAATGTTGTCATTCTCAAACAGTAATATGCCATTTTTGGCATTTTCAGAAAAAATTGCATTTTTCACCGGTCAAAGGTGGTGGTGCAGGGAGGTTGTACAGGCGATGGGAAAGGCATCCATAGTTTTTAAATTTTTTATGGAGTTTTACTATTTTTTTTATTAATTTAAAAAAAATTTGATTTTTTATTTTATGGAGAAGACCTCACTCATCTCCCCTATTTGTGCCTAGCGGGTTTCAAACCCGAGACCTTTTCTAGACACGGTAACCTCGCATCCAGCGAGCTGGAATGCTTGGTTTGCGGAGTATTGTATTACGGAGTATTGTTAAAGTCTCGTCCGGTGTAGACCACGTTTGGTAACACCGAAATCAACTGAATTGACTCATTCTGCTGAAATTTATAAAATTCTGCTTGAATGACTGGATTGGTTGATTCTGCTTATTTATAAATAGATTATACTAAAAATATTTTATTAATAAAAATAAAAAAAATTATATAAAAAACAGCCAAAATGATCATATACAGTGACTTCAGCCAATATAGCCAGAAAAGTAACTCCAATTTCATTTTTTATTATCATTACATAATTTAGCTCGCGGAATCTAAAATTACGTGTTTGATAAAAAAAATTGGTTGATAAGTCTGATAAGTTCTTAATTTATTTGCATGATACATGTTCCATTATTTTATTCGAATACACTTGATTCAAATATAATATTGGTATTCAAGGCCTTTTAGCCCACGCTATGTGTATACTTCACAACATCACTTTATAATTTGTTGTTTTAAAGCTTTATGTATGAAATTAGGGGTGGACTCGGGCCGGGCGGCCCGGCCCGGAACCAGCCCGGCCCGGTTACTGTTTGGCCCGGCCCGGCCCGGGGCCCGGTGGGTCCACCGGTTCGGTTCGGTCCGGCCCGGCTGCTGGGCGGTTCGGGCTCGGGCCCAGTTTTTGGTGAACCGGCCCGGCCGGTTCGGGCCGGTTTTAATTTTTTTTTTTTAAGTTTTGGGTTGGATTGGGTATTTTGGGCCATTTGAGGTGGTTTGGGGTGGTATGGGGTTGAGGGGGAGGGGTTGGGGGTTAAATAGAAGAGCCAAAAAAAAAATTAGAACCGGTTAGGCCCGGCCCGGCCCGGTTTGGCCCGGAACCGGAACCGCCCACCGGCGGTTCGGGCTCGGGCCCAACTTTCCTGGCCCGAGGCCCGGCCGGGCCCAGGCCCGAACCGGGCCCGAGGCCACCCCTATATGAAATACGTATGAAACAATATCTTTCAATATTGAGCACAAATTGGTAAATAATAAAACAAAAATATTAGAACATTCACACTTCTTAAAATATTGACACATGGATTTTTATAAAATAACCTCACACCCCATGAAATAGTTTCAAAACAATCGAATCTTTTGATATCATGCACAAATTAATTAAATCTAGTTTTACAAATAATTTTGAAATGATGTGAATTTGATCGTGGATGATTTTGGTAATTAGTCTAACCAAATGATCTGTCACTCAACCATGACCTAAGAAACCATGAGCGCCAAAAGTCACTATAATGCAAGAGTTGTACAAATACTGAAATTTTGAGCTAGCGTCCTTGGTAGCCTTCCCGAGCTAATTCTCCTCTTCGCCGGAGGAGGAGATGGAGGAGGTATAATTGATTGGTATTGTTGTACCGGCTTTTGCCCTTTGTGTACTGGAATCGGGCATGGACCCGGTTCGGGCCACCCGGCCCGCTACTGTGCGGGACCGGCCCGGTGCTTCGGGTCCCAACCCGGTCCTTGACCCGGTTTTAGGGCTTAACCGGGGGCGGGCTCGGGCTGCATAAATGGGGACTCGGCCCGGCCGGGCCCAAGCCCGGTTCGGGCCAAAACCGTTTTTTTTTTGTTTTTTCAGTTTTTTGGGGCTTCCCCGAGTTGGGCTTGATGTTTTGGTGGGGGGGTTTGGGGGTGGAGGGGTGGGGGGTCAGGGGGTAGATAGGAAAGAAAAAAAATTACAACCCAGCCTGAGGTCCGGCCCGAACCGGACCCGGTGGCAACCCGGACCGGTCCCGGGCCTTCCCCCAACCACAAAAGGCCCGACCGGGCCTAGGCCCGGCCCGGCCCGGCTCCATGCCTGACTGGAATGACTAGATAAGCCACGCGTGTAATCTGACATCTGGTAAGTGAAACACCATTAAGTGACGCCAGGCCTACGCAGGTGTCATGTAGTGACGTAACTGAATATTATGATATCCTAGTGCATCAATGTCCAAGTCCACATGAGGTCCCGAGCTCGGTCGTAGAGGTCAATCTCAGGTGTAATGTGCTAGCCATGAGGTGGGAAATTTCAACTCGCAATGTGAAGTAGGAGTGTCTTTATTGATCTTCGAGCTCACAAAGCGGTGGTTAGCCTGGAGCTCGAGTATAGTGTTGGAATTGTCATCAACCTTAGTGAAGGTCGATCAGCCTCAACTACAATTTTAGACTTATCTCGATGATCTAAGAAATGATATTGAGCTCGGTGTCGGTGAACTTAACCTTAGTCGGAGTTCATTCTGGAGGTTACTTATCATAAATATCGATACCCCTGAAGTATATGACAATATAGTCCATCAAGGGAAGAAGAAAATGTGAACCGTCATATCAACAATATGACCAAGTAAACAAACTTTCACCTACTAAATTCTAAATTTAATTATTTTTCTAGAGTTGATGGACTTAATTGGGTGTTTTTTAATTCAGTGGTGTTTAATTGACTTTTTTATATACCGCGAGGACCTATATGACATTATGACAGTTTCCCATAAATAAATTTATTTATCTTCAAATGCTAATTCCCACCCACCCAAACCCCCTCTCTCACCCAATGACAGTTTCCTCTAGCAATACCTGCCTTGAATCGCAGCCTAAAACAATCATTGCCAGTCCCAATTTTTTTCCAATTCCTTTATCTTTCACTGAAAAAAATTTCCAAAAATATTATCTTGGAATCACAATATCATGTTTGACAGTGACAGTGACATTTGTATGTGATATAAAAATTAGATAGTGGTATCATGTTTTTCCAAATTTATTATCTAGCTTTTTATGAAAATTTATTACCTAGTTAGTCACATTTATAAAAAAAAAATTAAATCTAGTCATATTGGGGGGGGGGGGGGGACCAAACGTTGTTCAATTTACAAAATGCACTGCGATAATATATTGATGAGGCCATGAGGGATTATAATCTATGAACAATACATGTATTTGAGAAGGAAAATTGTTTTTGTACATGTTTTTGTACACACCTTATCATCTACAAATATAGAAATTTTGAAAGTTGTCTGTGAACACAAACAAAATTGGGAGCGTGAAAATAAGCCGTATACACAACATTGTTGCGTGTACCCTCCACGCCAGACTCGTATTCACTACTTCCCTTTCTTGCGCCCTCTCTTCCCTGCACACTCAGAGCAGTACCATTTACCCTTTGGTTGTTCTTTAAGCGCAACGCAACCATAGTGAAACCATTCTATCTTGCACTGTTAAAAGGCGGGAAGGGAGTAAGAAGAGCTCTTGTCACTATTAATGAAGCCAAATATCAGAAAATAAATCCTAGGCAAAGAAAAAAACATTGTTAATAAACTCACGTTAGGATTGTCACATGCAACCATTTCACCGTAGCTAACTTGGTTGCAGAAGCAATATGTTGGTTCATTTGGATCCACAGGTAGATCCAAATCCATACCCACTGGATTAGCTGTTACTGCTGCTGCTGGGGTTGTCGTTCCAAGGCGGGTTCTGCACATATTATCCAACCGAGTTCAATATACAGAGCAGAAGCTAAAAGAGTACAATGTGCGCTGGAAGAAAAATTAGTTTTTATCAATTTACTCCTCCATAATTCAGAAGGACGGTGAGCTAGATGGAGATGTATCTTA